TTATATGTAAAAGAGAGGCGGGATATTCACTGTTTGTGTTTCTCCTGAAGAAAGTAAGTAACGCAGGTTTAAAACCACATGAAAGCAAGTCAATGATGACAGTTTTCATTTCTGAATGAGTTTTAAGAAGTTTTTACTTCAGTACGGGTCGCTGAAGGTCCAGCCAGGTCTTTGACGCAGTATATTTTTCATTATGAATGCATCCGGAGGTTTATTTTCTTAAGTTTCAGTTGTTTTTTGTAATAAACGTGATGGCTGGCGACTCTGTGTGTCCGACTTTGGCTGTGTTTCTGTGTGGAGGCGGGGTTAAGCGTTAGAAGCCCTTATTACCGAGCCGACAAGGAAAAGCAGCCAATTACACTAATCTCCTGCCACATCTGTGTCCAATCAGAGGCAGCCAATCAGCATACAGTGGTTTTGGCTTCAGAGACTTAGAAGGGTTAGAAACAGAAACCCAGAGGACCGTGTGTGTGTGTGTGTGTGTGTGTGTATGTGTGTGCGCGCGCTGCTACTACTGCAGCTCAGAGCTCAAGAATGTTCCATTATGCTGTGAAATGGAAGGTTGTCAGAGTTTAGGGTTTTATTTCCCATCATGCACCAGTACTCGTTTCCCAGATCTGACCGATAAACTTTGGCGTTTAACCTCCTGCAGTACCCAAGAGAAATCTTTTTCAAACTTTATCTTATCTTCAGTTTATGGTACTGTAGATGCTGTGGTTCTCTTGTGTTTGAAGATAATGTTCCTACAGCAGAACAGACTGACCTCTGAAGTCACGTGCACAAAATGATCGTATTTTCTTGTGAAACGATATTATGAATAATGAAGGGTGGGACTTGATTCTAAACATCTGTATTTGATTGAATTGTGCAGATGTCAAGTAATGGGTCATATTTGACAATTTAAAGTCATTACTTTAATGTTATAAGCTATTTTGTACAAATAGAACCAGGATATATGAATGTTGTATATGTATGTATATCGTACACATGTACAGTATATATATAAACATATTAGGGGTGGGGAAAAAAATCGATTCTCGATGCATCGCGATGCGGACGTGGACGATCCTGAATCGATTCACAAATGTCAAAAAATCGATTTCAAAAAATTTTTTTTTTTGATATGTATTTATAATAACGTAATATTGACGGAACGCGAAAGACGGAACTCTGAAGCGCGGAAGTGCAGTGGCGGGACCGTCTGTGGCGTGCCGTGCACATAACAGAGACCCGATGGAACGCGAGATCCAAACACTTTCCTTGTTAGGTTAAAAGCTGACGTGTGGAAATATTTTGGCTTCTGAAGTTGAAGGGGGAAAGGAGCTGGACAAGAGCCGCACTAGTTGTACGCTTTGTGGAATAAAACCAACGACGGAAACACGACAAATATGATAAGCCATATGACACCTTTCTAGCCAGAGGAGGAAAAACACTCGGCTGCACCAGTCGTTATATTATTTATTTACTACAAGTATGCTAGTTCAAGCACACATTTATTTTCCTGGTCGTTCTTTGTAATGTTAATAAAATATATTGTGCATTAATTCTTTATGGGTCATTAATTTGTACTTTTAAAGCAAATTATTTATAGTCACACACAAAAGATTCAGATAATCGATTTGTAACATTATAAATGTCTTGTACTTTTGATTTGACTTAATTTATCCTTGATGAATAAAAGTAAAGATTTCTTTTTTCTTTTGCCCAAAAAATTTAATAAAAATTCTTACCAACTCCAAACATTTGAACGGTATGGGCTATATGCACGCATAAGTTCCGCATTTGACGTAAGGATGCTCGTCCATTTCCGGTTGTGTAGATTAAAGCGGAGGAAAACCGGAGAAAACGGGATTATGGCAGAGTCTTCAATATTTACTGTCCTCCCGTCTTTGAAACGAAACGTACATACGTTTAGATGTAATTTTATATATAGTTATGTTTATTTAATATAATTTTAAAAAGAAGCATAAACACAACGAGGGGTGTCTGTTTTATCTGTTTTTGTGACTAACGTTTCATTAGTATAACCATGGAGTATAAAATTCAATATAAATTCTCGGTATTGCATTGGACTCTACGATCGGCGGAAGTTATCGAGCATCCTTAATCCTTCACCGGAAATAACGCCGTGCATAGAGCCCATTGTTTAATGTTACAAAAGCTTTCTATTTCAGATAAATGCTGTTCTATTGAATTTCTAGGTGATTCTCTGAATCGGGTGCCCTTCAAGTCCCCCAAACTTGCTTCAAATATTTTCAATTGAAGGAAATCACAAAATACATTTTAATGCTGTCAATTAATAGAACCAGGTGCATTTGCATTATAATGCAAAAAAAATTGCTTTTGAAAAAAATTTTAAAGTTAATAAATGTAAAGATAATGAGTTGCCTAAGTAGTAGATAACAAGCATGTTTGCATGTCCCCACTAACCATCATTATATTTTCAATGAATATCAAACAAATAAAAAGTGCAATTAATACCAAAATGTTGCTGCTGCTAATATAATCATATGTTGATCTAGTGTATTTTCGTTTACTGTTGTGAAATGGAAAATCAATAATCGGTAATCGAGAATCGTTAATAATCGAAAATCGACTGTAATCGAATCGGGACTTCAATAATCGTAATCGAATCGAATCGGGAAATCAGACAGATTAACCACCCCTAAAACATATACAGTATATATATATATATATATATATATACAGTGCCCTCCACAATTATTGGCACCCCTGTTTAAGATGTGGTTGAGGACTTTTAAAAATTCTCCCTTTTTTTTAAACAACATAGAACCCAAATGCAAAAAAAGAGAAAAATCCAACCTTTTATTCAAGTACATTACTTTGGTGGTAAAAAAAAATGTAAAAATTTAGAAAAATAAAAACTTCAAATCCTGTGTCCCACAATTATTGGCACCCCTAACAATTCCGCTGAAAAATGTAATTGATTTTTAAAAATATATATATTTTCTGTAGTTGCTAATGTTGGTCAGGATATCTAGGAACTTTTAATTAGTAATTCATGACTTCCTATTTCCCTGGGGTATAAATATGACATGACACAGAGGCCTAATTCTCTTACCCATTTGTCAACATGGCAAAGACAAGAGAACACACCATTCAAGTAAGGCAGATGTGTGATGACCTTTATAAGTCAGGCAATGGCTACAAGAAAATAGCCACTCACCTTATATTGCCCATATCTAAAGTTAGAGGAATCATTAAGAAGTTTAAAACAACAGGAACAGTGACAAACAAGGCTGAAAGAGGTCCCAAGTTTATCTTGCCACAACGCACTGTGAGGAGGATGCTAAGAAAAGTAAAAAAAAAGTCCTAAGCTCACTGTCACAGAATTGCATCAAATAGTGGCATCTTGGGGTCACAAAATCTCCAAAACAACCATCAGACGCTCTCTACATGCCAACAAGATGTTTGGGAGGCATGCTAGGAAAAAGCCTTTTCTCACTAACACTGACAAACGTAAACGTCTGGAGTTTGCCAAGCGGCACTGGGACTTTATCTGGGATCGTGTGCTTTGGTCGGATGAGACTAAGATTGAGCTTTTTGGCAACAAACACTCTAAGTGGATCTGGTGTAAAACAAAAGATGTGTATGCCGAAAAGTACCTCATGCCCACCGTGAAGTATGGTGGAGGATCTGTGATGCTGTGGGCCTGTTTCTCTTCCAAAGGCCCTGGGAACCTTGTTAGGGTGCATGGCATTATGAACGCTTTGAACTACCAGGACATTTTAAATAAAAACCTGATGGCCTCTGCCAGAAAGCTGAAGATGGGTCGTCATTGGGTCTTTCAGCAGGATAATGATCCAAAACGTGTGGCAAAATCTACACAAAAATGGTTCAGTCACAAACTCAAGGTCCTCCCATGGCCATCTCAGTCCCCAGACCTCAATCCAATCGAAAACCTGTGGGGTGAGCTAAAGAGGAGAGTGCACAAGAGAGGGCCCAGGATACTGGATGATCTAGAAAGATTTTGCAAAGAAGAATGGTCAAAGATCCCTCTCTCTGTGTTCTTCAATCTTGTGAAATGTTATAGGAGGAGATTAAGTGCTGTCTTGTTGGCAAAAGGGGGTTGTACAAAGTATTAACATCAGGGGTGCCAATAATTGTGGGACACATGATTTGAAGTTTTTATTTTTTTTAAATTTTAAAAAAAATTTTTACCACCAAAGTAATGTACTTAAATAAAAGGTTGGATTTTTCTCTTTTTTTGCATTTGGATTCTATGTTGTTTAAAAAAAAGGGAGAATTTTTAAAAGTCCTCGACCACATCTTAAACAGGGGTGCCAATAATTGTGGAGGGCACTGTATGTGTGTGTATAAAATTATTGCGTATGTGTGTATATATATATATATATATATATATATATATATATGGAATATATATATGAAGAGTTCAGATGCAAAAGCCTCTAAGTGCCATTTGAAATTTTCTTCTAGAATGATCATTTTTATCAAGCTTGTATATTTAAGTTCAGTGATTTCATTTAAATGGCAATGATAATTACCTATTAATTGTTATTTAAGTGAAATTACTGAACTTAAATATACAAGTTTGATAAAAATCATCATTAAAGAAGAAAATTTCAAATGGCATTTAGAGGCTTTTGCATCTGAACTCTTCATATATATATATATATATATATATATATATATAATCTTATATATAATATATATTATATATATGCACATAAGAAATACAAAAAAGTTCCTTCCTGGCTGTATTTATTGTACACAATTTAAAAAAAAAAGTTTAATTAAATGTCTGAGTTTGTGAAAATGTGCATAATTATCATGAAAATAATATTGCAGTTATAAAAATATGAATTCTTTTTAAATAAACCAACAAATAAAAACTTTCAAAAGAAAACTCTCACTTTTTAATTCATTTATTTTTTGTGTGATTCACTCATATAAACTGTAAAGATGTATTTTGTTGCGTTTCTCATGTCTGTTCTGGTTTGTTTTCTCTCTGTCTGCAGGTTTTTCCTCCTCTGCCTAATGAAGCTGAGATCGCACACACTAAAAAACTGTTTCGCCGCCGCAGAAATGACCGCCGGTGAGTCACTCAGTCTCAAAACACGACATGAACTTCTTACGTTACCGTCGACTCTCTTCCAGTTGTTTGGCGAAAACGTTGCGCGCTGATGTTAGACTTGTAAAGCAGAAAACACACCACCTCACACTTTCCACACGTGTCAGAGTCGAATGTAATGAGAGCATCAACCGGTGTGTTAGTAGTGTTGTGTTTGGAGTAAAACGTGATGCTCTGTATCTGCATGTTCTGTACTCAAAATATTCACTGTTAATCCATAAAACCACTTCCACCTTTCTGCTTTTACGTTCTGACTTTGACCTCATCGGAACAGTTCTCTGTTGTAATTTGCAGTTGCTAAGAAACTGCAAAAAAGAAAATATTTTGGTCTAAACTTGTGCGAAAGCAGAGGGTGAAAGCAAGCAAAACCCTTCTATTATTCATGGCTTTGTTAATGCAAAGAAAAGCTCTCGTTGTCATCGGTCTGATGTCCTTGTGTGTGGAACCCAGTCCGACTGGATTTCTTCAGTGGACGTTTCTCATGTGTGCTTTGTGGTGCCGCCGCACTCAAGGACGTTTATACAGTACTGAGATTTTTGCTGTGACAGGGCGTGTGGAACAGAATAGATGGTTTATTTGTGAAACAACCCTGCGGCCCAGAATGCACTGTTGTCTTTACTGGAGGTTTTGAAGCCTAAATACAATCGTCAGAAGTATAAAGCTAAGCATAGGCTATAAACGAACTACACCGCGGTCACATGACTTCTGGATTCATCTGACAGCTCTTTCAGTTTATAATAAAAAAAAAAACATTTTCCCTGAAAGTTTGAGTTAGAATAGTTTGCTAGAGCGTGATTATAGACACAGCAAGGCTGATGTTGATTCCTTTGTGTGCATTTTAATATGACTTTACCTGCACGCCGTTTTCTGTGCTACACACACATCCAAAACATGGGCACAGAAAAAGTGATTTTAATGTCATTTTAAACCATTCAAGCATGTGAAGACCTTTTCTGTGCTGCACAAAATGACATACAGAATAGTGCCTGTTATTGAAGTTCTCTACTACTACTTTTTGCTCTTGAACACACAAAAAAATGTCAAAATATCCTCGTAAATACAGCGGGTTATGTTTTAAATGAACGCAAACGCAAAGAAAATGCATGTGTAACAGTCACAGACTGTAAAAAAGATGGACGACGTCCCTTCGCTCTCTTCCATTGGTCAATAGTGAAGCCACCAGTATCCCAATTTGAGTCTGCGCAGAAGCGATCTCGGGACCAGACGTGCGCAGTCGTGAGCAGGAAGTAAAGCCGCGAAATCAATGCCCCGCCCTCACTCTCGCAGAATCAATCGGAAACACACGCTCCTGCAATTGTTTAATTAATTATAGAAATTTATATATTAAATTTAAAGCTTCAATCTGCTTAGTCCTCCGAAGATCACGGAAAAAAAGTCTGTTGGTGCTTCAGTGAGTACTTCGCTCAGAGAACCTGTCAATCACAACTGTCAATCTTGACGTCACACCACCGCATTAAATAACTAACTAAAACCAAACACTTGAAATTACGTCAGCATGATATAAGCTACAGTAAATGACAGAAATCATCTTTGGAAAACCAATATTTGAATTGTAATTGTTTAGTTGGTGCCGTTGAATAACATGTGGAGGCGGGGTTTATGACCTATACTAGGACCGGCCACCAGGGGGCGATCAACACTGGCTTCACTTTTCAGGGCTTGTGCGGCACGCTTGGTGACAGTATATTGGATCCGTGCAGCTCTACGTCTCTATAATAACGTAAATCAGACAACAAAATGCAAAGAGAAAATTCACTCGCTGTTCTTAAATTTTGTAACTATTTGTAATGTATTTTTTTTTTTCGAAGAGCATTGTTGTTTTACTTTTGATTTCAGTTTCTGTACTTGAATACCTAAAATATACCAGTTATTTCAATAATTAAATATACTGGTCATAAAATATAGCAGTTTATTTCAATAATTTATTGAATGTTATTATTGTTGCCTGATTGGAATTTAAATTAGGAATCGATAATCTATTTAGACACTTGTTAGCAAGTAGAATGAAAAAAAAAAAAACAAGGGGGTATTACTGATGTATTTTATGTTTGAGAATAAAACGTGACAATATTTTGAGCTTGTGTCCACCACTAGGGATGCATCGATATGATATTTCTGGCCGATAACCGATAACTCTTTATATTTGAAAGCTGATCACCGATATATTGCCTGATAAGTCTCGCCAGTAAAAGCCATGTCCCAAGAAACAATTATAATGTTCTCATTATAATTATATGTCTCCTATATGAGAGACATGTATAACTATCTTCCTCTTCAAGGTGATTCCAATCATATTTTAAGCAATTCAAAACCATTATGGCGAAAAGTAAGCATCCACCACAGACATTATTTTAGACATTTAACCAAAAACCCATTAACTTCGGGCCGGGGCGATGGAACCGGCTACATAAAAAAAAGGCTACATGAAAGCCTCATCCCTGCAGCTCTAACCACCCACAGCACCTTTGCATTGTGTTTGCAAGCTTTGCGCAGGCAAATTTTATGCATTTTTACTTGGACTTTGACTACAAAAGTTAGAAGTAGGAGTAAAGGCAATCTAGAGAATACATCTTTTCTGGGTTCAAATTTAGAGAGTGTGTGCGAGTCACTGTTCACCTCACTACACAAGACGATTCTCTTCCCACATCTCTCTCTCTCTCTCTCTCTTCCACTCCTCTAACAGAAGGCTTTTCAGCCTGTTATTGCTGGTGTTGGCCACCCACAATGCTTTGCTTCTGCCAGAGAGGACCCTGCGGTCATATTGTTTGTTGGCATCAGTTCTTGCCTTTTCTTTCTCTCTCGCTCTCGAGATTAGTTCGCTGAATCGAAATATCTTTGCAGTCGCATTTATGAAATGCAGCCTTTTTTGATGACAGAATCTCACAGGAAAGCAGTTTAGATTTATGAAGAGCCAGACAACTAAAGAAAGGTTCATCAGAGGCTGTGTGTATGTGTTTGCATGTGTTAAACTCACATATGCTCATAGGACTCGGGTCTTTTAGGATAAAGGACAGTTTGAGATCGGCAGATTCATCTGGTGTTGGTTCCAAAATATACAGTCATGTGTCATTTTGTGTCATTTATGTATGAATATATGCATGTACCAGTTTGTTTGTTTTTTCCTGTGAAAGAAAGAAATGAATACTTTTATTCAGCATTATTTGAATAATTAATTTGCATTATATGATCAAAAGTGACAGTAAAAAGATTTTGAAGTAAATCTGCTCTTTCGTCAAAGAATCCAGAAAAAAACGACGGTTTCCAAAAATCTGAAGCATAAAAATAAAAATAAATGTTATTGAGCAGAATATCATCATATTAGAGTGATTTCTGAAGGATCATGTGACACAGAAGACTGGAGTAATGATGCTGAAAATACAGCTTTAATCACAGGAATAAACTACATTTTTAACTTGCATTTAAATGAAAAACAGCTATTTTAAATTGTAATAATATTTCACAATTTTACAGGTTTTACTGTATTTTTCCATCTTAATTTTCATTTTACTGTATTATATATATATATATATATATATATATTATATTTATTTTTATTTTTTTTTCACATAAAATATTTTAATATAGTTTGACGCAGGTTAAACTGCACCTTTTTTCAGGTCTGTTTGGGTTATGTTGTGCGTTTCAGTAGTTTAGAGCTGATAAAGAAGCTCAGCAGAAGGATAATCTGGAGGAGGAGTGATGCTGGACCGAGACCTCATGGTCACAAAACCCATCAAAACACATGGGGGGAGGGTTTCTTTGAGGATTCCTGTCTTAGGAATTGCACACACTACTCGCAGTCAAAGTGCTCCATTGCATCTATTTTAAAGAAACTTCCATTGTGGAAACCGTCCTGTCTTTTCATATTCACTGCAACATTTCTTTGGCTTTTATAGCATTATAGATGCCATGTCATTCAGTTGCTTCCCTTTAAACCCTGTAGCTCTCATAACATTTTAGTCATTTTATTTATTTAGTTTTTTTTATTATTTTTAATTTTTTAAATATTTTTATTTTATTTATCCCAAGTAGATTTCATATTTTATTGTATTTTTTATATATATTTTATTTTATTTTATTTTATTTTAGTGTTTCATAACTTTCCCAATCATTTATTCTTGCATTTTTGTCTGAGATTTTACTGTTCCATCTCATCCACTTGTTCACGCATCATCTCCCGGTCGTACCCGTAGCCGATGCAATCCGCCCCAGGATGATCTGACGGTGCTGTTGCCAGCCGAGGGGAGACGGCAAGTGTCCAGGTCAGTGTCTCAAACGGGTCCAGCTCCGAGCAGCTCTCCTGAATCCTGTCCGCTCACTCTTGTCCTTCCACTTACAAACCGGACTTCTGAACTGCTTGTGGGATCAACTCGCTCATGGGATTCAAACTAACCATCTTCTTCTGGCCTGGAATTGTGTCCTTGTGAACCTGTTTGCTTTTATTCTGCTTGCACAACAAATCCTGATCACTGTACAGTATGTTCTCTTCCTCTCGCTTCGGTTGAGTCATCATTAATCTACAAAGTATCTCTGTAGGACGGAACAGAAATCCTGATCAGAGGCAGGGTGGCATCATTAAGGTGGCGTGTATGCGGGAATCGTAATGGAGATTATTATGGGATGGTTTGAGAAGATCTGAGTGACAGGAGTGCTAGACATTAATGGTCGACTGATTATTAGTATTATCAGTTAGTATCATTTGCTCAGGGACTACGGATGAAAATTAGCCATTTAGCTAACTCTCTCTTATATATATATATATATATATATATATATACATATATATTTATATTTATATATATATATATATATATATATGAAGAGTTCAGATGCAAAAGCCTCTAAATGCCATTTGAAATTTTCTTCTTTAATGATTATTTTTTATCAAACTTGTATATTTAAGTTCAGTAATTTCATTTAAATAACAATTAATAGGTAATTATCATTGCCATTTAAGTGAAATCACTGAACTTAAATATACAAGCTTGATAAAAATGGTCATTCTAGAAGAAAATTTCAAATGGCACTTAGAGGCTTTTGCATCTGAACTCTTCATATATATATATATATATATATATATATATATATAAATAAACACACATGCACATTTATATTAAAGGGTAACTAAACCCCTGGTCAGAGCCTGACTCCACCCACTGGCAATATTTGAAAAATGCTGAAAAATTGGGCAGACCCCAGCAGAGATATAGGGGACGAAATAGATGCTAAAACACTATCCTGATCGTTTTCCATACTCGCAATTCCAACTCCTGACTCCCTACAGTGGTTTTGACGAAACAAGCTGGTTTTTATACTGCCGCTTGTACCAAGAGCGTGATGAGCTGAAACATGCCACGAAATGCGGAACATCCAATAGGAAAATTCAACTGCAGTAGCCACCGTTCAACCTGAAGAGGGCAGCACTAAGCGTTTTTACACCATATATTGTAGAAATAAAACACTTTATACACAAATGTGAAAAAAGTTACTCGAATCAATGACTGGTATTAATAAAGATCCATACCAGTGTAATAAAGATCCAAACACCATGGTAAAGATTCTTACAGATCATTAACTAAAAAAGGTTGGTTTAGGGTTTAGTTACTCTTTAATTTGAATTTACATGTTTACTAAAATAATTGAATCGTGAAAAATCCTGATGACAAAATAAACATGAGAAAGTATAGTGTTTGCCTTTCTATTAATAATGTTTAATTCTATTATAAAGTCATATTATAATAGTTATTTTATTTTGACTGTCAAAATAAAAGTCCTGCTTCTTGCAAAAACCAAAAATGTATTGTCAAATGGCAATAATTAAAAAAGCCAAATACTGGCCGGTATATCAGCCAACTGCTGCTAGACGTTACATGAAAACACAGAAATGGAGGCTGATGCTTCTGGGATCTTCTAGAGATCATTTGTTTTATTTTGTCTCATTTGACAAAATGCAGAGAAGCTTTAATTATCACAGCCTATCTTTTATTTTTTGTTAGTCCTCTTGAACATTTTGAAAGGATTTGTTTTTGTGATTTTTGATCAGCGGCTTTAGGTCTTATTTTTGTTTCTATCAGATTAAAATGGTGTGAAGTGTGGCGATTCCCATCAGTGACGGACCTGTCAGTCAGGGTTTATCTTGTGCAAAGCAGACACATTATGCTTCTGTTATGTAACAGCTTTTCATATAACTTTTTGTTGTATTGGTTTTGTGTGTGAATGTGTGTGTCTGTGAGAATGAGAGTAGGTTGGGTGTGGACATCATTGAATCTGGCTCTTGCTCTGCTTAGAAAAACTTAAGTGTCTTTCTGTCTCTCTCTCTCTCTCACACACACACACACACACACACACACACAATTGAAATCTGTCTTGGTTAAAAAAAATGTTTTTAAATGATCAGAATCACTATTATAGAGGAGACCTATTATGCCCTTCACAAAGTATTGATTTTGTTTTTGCGCTCTACTAGAAAAGGTTTTCATGCTTTATTATTATTATTATCTATTATTTGTCACTGTTGCAGCTCGTCTCTACTCAGTCTCAGTAACGCTCTGTTTAGTTCCTGTATCTATGAAGCCCCTCCTTCTGAAAAGCACACTGTGCTCTGATTGGTCGACTGAAGCAGTGTGTTTGGGAAATGTCCCAACCCTTACCATGAGCACAAGTTTCAACACACTGCTAACTTGCCATGAATGGCAATATTTCAAATATACAGCAAAATAGAGCAAGGTTTTGGACCAATGAGATTTCATTGTGGGTGGAGCTACTCTGCATTATCATGCTGTGCTTGCAATTGTCATTGCAGGTTAAAACAAACAATAGTATAGAAGAAATGATGTGTTATTTTTTTCGTGTCATGCCTGGTCAAGATGTTCTGTTGGTTTTTTTAGGTTAACAACTAACATTGGGTTGGCCTAAAGTCAAAGGTTAATTTTTTTACATTTGTAAGGTTTTTAAAGCAGCATTCTGTTATTTTTGAAATTTTTCTCTCGGGGTCCCCCTACAGTTTGGAAACAGTATTGTCTTCTACTACTGTCGTAAAATCTGTCATGGTTACACTAGGGAATACGCGTGTGCATTTGTTGACAAGCGATCCCCCCGAACTCTGCAGAAGGAAGGAGTTCTCACATCTTGGGCAGACTCTAGTGTTCATCCCAGGTACATTGGCATATATTCAGTCTTATGAATTTAGTGTCATGGGCTTTATTATTTTTTTTTTTTTCAAACGACAAAAAAATCGTGTAGCTCACGTTTACATGCCAACAACTTTATACTAACGTTAGCCTATTGGCTACTGTTTTACATAATGGATATGTTAATTAAATTAATTCAAAGTTCAGTTCACACATTTTAAAATGAACTAGTTCATTCTTTTTTTTTTCCATGCGTTGCAAGCTTTTCTTTTATGTTTATTATTGCCACCCACAGCCCATATACAACCACAGATAACAATTATTTTATCGACGGGCAGTTTGCACAGAATGTACGATTTTTCCCATCCTCACCGACCTCCTCATAAAATCCGTTTAAATGATCATCCGACACATCGACACCTTTGTCGACATCGGCCACGGTTTGACACCGGTGTCTTGTGTTGCCAGATTGGGTGTTTTTTCGCTACATATTAAGGCCTGTTTACGTGTGTTTTAGCCGGGTTTTCGCATGGAAGGCTCTATAGAAATCTGGCACCCTATTGTACGAAGTCAAACTGAGAGCGTCCGTTCACAGACATCAGAATGAATGCGTTCACAGTAACGTTCATCAGGCAGTACTACAGTACGTTCAGTTCATGGTCGCCCAAAATATGAACGCGTTCACGCACAACACTGGTTGGTACAGTAGATAATAGCCATGTCGTCAATATTATAATATCAAGCTGAGCTACCATAGATGAATCTGCAAATTTGAAAAATCAATTTGCATTATAGCCTGAGGCAACATACAGAGATTTAAAAAAAAAAAAGCTCATGAAGAAGTGACGTATTCTGTAAAACAGTCGAATTTTGTCGTTCTTTTTGTGCTCGGGTTCCTACCCGCTCCCCGAAGTTACAGAGTGCCAGTAAAAGCGATACAGACATTGTCAGGCTATGGCAGACCTGTAATTCAACCTATTGGAAGTCGATGTACCATCTCAAGTTTTGGAAAAATATTATAAAGGTTGAAAAAAATGACATAGTGCGGCTTTAAAGGAGCTAAAGTATTGTTTTTCTTGAACACTTGTCTTTTTATTGCAGAATAGGTTACTGTTTGCATTATATGACCAAAGGTGTCCATAAAGAAAAGTAAAAAGATTCTGCTCTTTTAAATTTCATCAAAGAATCATGAAATGTGTGTGTGTGTGTGTGTGTGTGTGTGTGTGTGTGTGTGTGTGTATATATATATATATATACACTATATATATATATATATATATATATATATATAAACACTATGTATAGAATTATTGTTTATATATATATTTAAAATGTGAATATCTACATCTATTTTAAGAAATTAACATTTATTTAATCAAGAAAGTGTTAAAATCAATCAAAAGTGACAATAACACATTTATAATGTTACTACAAGCTTTCTATTTTAAATAATTGCTGTCCTTTTGAACATTCAAGTCAATTCAATTCCAGAAAAAAAAAATATTTAATGGTTTTCACAAAAATATTAAGCAGCTGTTTTCAACATTGCTAATAATCAGAAAGTTTCTTGAGCAGCAAATCATCATTAGAATGATTTCTGAAGGATCATGTGACACTGAAGACTGAAGTAATGATGCTGAAAATACAGCTTTGATCACAGGAATAAATAACATTTCACAATATTTACATAGAAAACAGCTATTTCAAATTTTAATAATATACAATATTACTGTTTTACTGTATTTTTTCTCAAATAAATGCAGTCTTGGTGAGCAAAAGACACTACTTTCAAAATCATCATTACAAATAATATTCCCGTGAAGCGACATCCAGGGTCCTAACCCACGTAAAGCCTAAAGAATGTCACGGTCAGCTCCTCCACATCTTATTTTCAACCTGTCACTCAACACACTCAGTGTGCATTTCCCCTAAAATTAACCCCTCGTAAAAGCAAAACACCATGGTCAAACATGACCTTAACCTGGACGTCTCACTCTAAAGCTGTCAATCAAACGTAAAGCCTGTCCTCGCTGTGAGGAGATTCCCGTGTGTGTGTGTGAGTGTTTCTCAGGCGTGCAGAGGTTGTGTAGGTTAACGGTCACTAGTGAAGACGTTAGTCTTTGAAGTGTCCAGTGGTTTTGAACATTGTGTGTTCGCTCCAGGCCTCTGTACGCTTGTTTACTCCTCATAGAAGCAGTGAAGTTGATTGTGCACAACAGTGTTGGAATGGTACAAATAGCCTGCCAAAAAAAACTCAAATTTCTTTATTGTTAGAAATCTAGACATTTAAGCATAACTTTATGTATTTAAATTGCATAGAAAATGTCCATCCATTTGGATTACAGTTTTAACATAAACTAAAAAAAACTTAATCTGATGCATATTTATCTGTGATACATCGGTAAGATTTCTGTAATAGTCCTAATAAACTGAATGTGTTTTAAATGCAAAGTTAAAGGTTTATTTTTTCTTCATTAAATCACATTTTTTTAATCTCTTATACATTTTAACTAATTGAATACCTGTATTGCTTGTTCCACAGATACAGTATTTTCAACCGTGCTCATGCTTTTTTATTTACATATATTTAATTGTTTTCACAATTAACAGGTTTATGCTGATTCTAAGCATAAATTATTGCATATTTAAAATATATTTATTATTTAAATAAAATCAACTAATAGTTAAGAATTTATGCCATGATTTTTTTTAGTGCAGAAATACAAGAATTACCTGTTTCTTACCTATTTTATTTATATGCATGCATATTAAAATATGAAAAATATGCATCACATTAAGTTTTGTTAGTTAAAACTGTCCAAATGTAATAAATCCAAATGTATGAAAAGTTGAAATGCTTATCAAATACATAAAGCATAAATTGCCTAACAATGGCTTCACAGAGCTTATTGATTTTATAAAAAGGTTGGTCCATAAAAAAAATATAAAATAAATATTTTGTTGCAGTGGTGTATTAATACTGATGTAATAAGGCCACAGACTCAACCAATCAGAATCAAGGACGAGAACTATCTGTTTTATAATCTTAGACTTGGGTCTCTAGATACATATACTGTATTGATTTCTATATTGACATATGTTGCTGTACAAGTTGTTTTTTGTTTAGTCATAGTGAAATCTCATTGGTCCAGAAATCCTGAATATATTTAGATTGGCTTGGATTTGTTGTTGTTGCTTTATGCAGCTTTCTGCTTTCAGTGATGCCTGAAAAAATGCGATTGAAACTCAATTTGCACTTAACTTGGATGGAGTTCATTACATTTTGTTTGTGCAATTTGTATCTAGTTTAAATGGCTTGAATCCAAATTGTCTTTTCTTAAAAAGTCTGATTATTGCAGTCAGTGAAACTAACATTTGTTCACACAGACGTAATGATTAATGACACACACATAACGTGCAGTAACGCATTCAGTGCTCTTAATGCATGCATACGTATGCAGACAGCACATGTCAGCGTGTCTATATGTGTGTATGTACACACAGGCGTGTGTGAATGTAAAGCCGTAATCCAGTGTTGGTCTGGATGACTGGAGTTCTGCTGGTGAAGATAGATCATCCCGTCAGACTGGTGCAAACATGGAGATCTGGGTGATTACATACTCGCTCGCATCTGCCGTAAATCATTACGCACATTCACAAACACACACTCTGTGTGGCTGCAGTTATTAGTAGTGGTAAGTCAATCATCACTATTGCTAATGCTCATATTTGGGGTTAAGGCCTGTTCACACTAAGACTGATAACTGTAAAGAAACACTATTGATGTCCATACCAACACATGATGACATTCTGTTGACTGTCAGGGTTACAATTATACACTTATTTATTTATTTGTGTACTTATAGCTATATCTTTTGCATTTATTCCTTTGCTTATTTATTTTGACTTAAACACCCAGAATGCTCTTTAAATTCTGTGTTTGTTGTCCAGATTGTCAAACAGAAGTTGTGTATATTTTTGTGTAATGTGTTCAAAATGTGTATTTTTATATTTGTTTTATTTGTATTTTTGTTTGTTTTTCTGTATCTATTTATTTCTTTGTTATGTGTATTTACTTATTTAACCACACAGAGCATCCTAGCTACTGCTTGGCAACATCTTGGCAACTACCCAGATGGCCTTGAACTGCTTTGAGCACCTTACCAGTTATTCAGCATATACACACTGGCAACAACCCTAACAATGCCCTAGCAACTACCCAAATCACTCGAAACTACAAAAAAATCCTTAGCAACTGCCTAGCAACACCCTGGAATCCACACACGACACACTGTTTGCATGGGCAAGGAGCACTCAGTGACATTGTCAATAACAGGCTTTTTTTGTTGTTGTTCTAGGAGACCGCAGCGCCTGCCTGGGGGAGGAGGGACTGGTGGGAAATCCCAGAATCCTCCTCTTCAGCAGCAGCAGCAGCAGCAACAGCCCAATCAGATGCAACAGCCCAACACTGAGCACCAATCAGGAGCCGGCATGAAGCACGGAGGGCGGGGTTACCAGGGCCAGCAGAACCAGGGAGGGCGGCAGGGCGGGCCACATCATGGCTACAGCCAGAACCGTCGCTGGCATCAGCATCCCAAACACCAGACGAACAGTTTCAGTCAAGGGCCCTCGGGGGTCGACAGGGGCCTCACACGCAATACCAAAGAGACAGAGAATGTAAAACATGAGGAGCCAGAGCCCCACACAGAGAGAGGAGCGAAGGACGAACCTGCGAAAGATGAGAGAAAGAAAGAAGACAAGGAGGAGAAGACGGAGAGTGGGAAGATCTGCTTACTACAGTCGTCAAAAGAGAGACTGAGGAGGAGATTGAAAGCAAAGGTGCTTTAAAATCCCAGTTTAGTTCCTGAAACTGAGTTTGAATTGATACAGTTAAATGCAGAAGTGCCATTTGAATTTTAGGGCTAGGAAGTAGATGGATGGATGGATGGATGGATGGATAGATGGATAGATGGATGGATGGATGGATGGATGGATGGATAGATAGATAGATAGATAGATAGATAGATAGATAGATAGATAGATAGATAGATAGATAGATGGATGGATGGATGGATGGATGGATGGATGGATGGATGGATGGATGGATGGATGAATAGATAAATGGATGGATGGATGGCTGGATGGATGGATGGATGGATGGATAGATAAATGGATGGATGGATGGATGGATGGATGGATGGATGGATGGATGGATAGATGGATGGATAGATGGATAGATGGATGGATAGATGGATGGATAGATGGATGGATGGATGGATGGATGGATGGATAGATGGATGGATAGATGGATGGATAGATAGATAGATAGATAGATAGATAGATAGATAGATAGATAGATAGATAGATAGATAGATAGATAGATAGATAGATAGATAGATAGATAGATAGATAGATAGATAGATAGATAGATAGATGGATGGATGGATGGATGAATAGATAAATGGATGGATAGATAGATAGATAGATAGATAGATAGATAGATAGATAGATAGATAGATGGATGGATGGATGGATGGATGGATGGATGGATGGATGGATGGATGGATGATAGATAGATAGATAGATAGATAGATAGATAGATAGATAGATAGATAGATAGATAGATAGATAGATAGATAGATAGATAGATAGAATATTATAAATGTTGTTTGTCACTTTTGAGTTAATGCAAGCTTGGTGAATAAAAGTATTAGTGACCTTAACCTTTTGAACCACACCATTCCTCAATGTTCCAAGTCACATGACCACTCTCGTTGTACTCTGATTGGCAGGAGGACGTTCCCGTGGCGACGGCCGGACCTCAGCGTAACCGAATGGACAGATTACTAGAGATTCTAAACAGCATGAAAAACAACAGCAGTGGTGTGGAGGTTCAGCTCACCTCGTTCATGGAGGAGGCGCAGAGCTCAGCCGACTCTGAGGAGACGCTGAACCAGATCGTGCTCACCATTTACAGCAAGGCCGTCAGCGACCGAAGCTTCGCTGCCACTGCCGCCAAACTCTGTGACAAGATGGCTCTATTCATGGTGGAAGGCACCAAGTTCCGCTCTCTGTTACTCAACATGTTGCAGGTGAGAACTCAATGTCCTTTACTTATTTCATCACGTTCATGTTCTGCAGGTTCGGTGCTGTCTCTGAGGACCAATCAGATCGAACGCTTTACAGTGGCGAGGTGTCACTCAGAAGGATATTGTGCAAATGTCATCTCACCTGCTGCTCGACTACATCCATCTCAACTCTTTTGTGTCTGCGTTCTCTCTGTTTCTCCTCTTCCTCTTTTTCTCGAGGGCTTCAGGATGTGATTCATCTGTGCAATTCAGCTGAATGACCCTGTACAATTTCCTCATTGGACAAAAGGGACATTTTAAGCCACAAACACTTTCACCTCATTTTAAAAGTTAGGAGTTTCCCAAATCTTTCTGAAAGATGATGAATACTTATATACTTGAAGAAATATTTCAAAATGAAAATTTCATCGTTTACTTACTCTCATTTCTGTAAAATGGAAACCCTGGCTGCTCAATTTCAAAATGACACCATCAAATTGGCGCATACATTTTATAATTTTTAGTAACAAATAAAAGCCTGATTTTGAACAACTAAATTACAACTAACTTTACAGGTTAAGTGTGGACCAACGTTATTTTAGTACAATTTTCAATTATAATCTTTTGAATTAGCTTTTTTATTTATATATATTTTCAGTATTATATATATATATATATATATATATATATACTTATTATATTATATTATATAACTTATTATATATATATATATAAAAATTCTTGATATATAGCTTAAGTTTATTTTTTTATGTTCAGTTTACATTTTAATGTAAGTATTAGTCATTTTGTGCTTCTGTCATTTAAATGTATGTTTGTATGCGTGTGTGTGTGTGCAGGGGCGAGTATATATAAATGTATGTGTGTGTATACATATGCATTTTATATATGTGTTTTAGATATATGAAATACATATATATCTTTTATTTATTTATTTTTTATTTCAGTATCAGTAATTTATTGTTTAGTAACTTATTTCAGTTAGTTCTGGGTGATAAAACACGCAATGCTTTTAATATACGGCCCTTTTAATCTGTTAGTCTATTATTACCGCTGCAGGGAGACTGCAGAAGCGCTGGACTGCAGAAGTGTTTTTATGCCGTGTCTCTGTCTCTGTTGTTTTGGGTCAGCCTGTCTGTACGCTGGTTTTAGTGGTAAAGCTCTAAGTATTTTGTCATTGTTTTTGGGAACTGACTGTTAGACTCACAGTGATGTGATACCAGAACTTTGACCTGGTGCTGGTGCGGCCAAAACACACATCCTGCTCTATACACACACACACACACACACAGACCAACAAACGCTCCGTCGCAAACAAACCCCATGCTGCAAATGCATAACAGGATTATGAAAGAAAAGTACCTTTATTACAATCAAACTTAATTATTAACAAAAATATATACAAAATAATAATTTATAATGTATTACAGTAGCATTACTTAGTATCTAAAAAAGGCAAACTTTCTAAAGTGACATACGAAAAGGTGATGCATTTTTCAGATTAAAAAAAAAAAATTGAAATAGAAATCTTTTGTAACATAAATGTCTTTACTGTTACTTTTGAATGCATTCCTGCTGAATAAAAGTACATCTTTCTGATCCCAAACTTTTGAACAGTAGTGTAATTGTTTAAATGTATAAAGTCATGATATACACACGTCTCTTTTTTGCCTTTTAACATGTAGTAGCCCCTTTAACTGTGTCTCAGGCATCAGTCTGGAGTTTGAATGTGTGTTGAGCTGGATGAATCATCCGGTTCGTCCTCACGTAAACCGGTTCTTTTCACTCGTATGACGCTGGAGCAGACGCTTTCGTTCTGACGGGATTATGTAACAGATACACACGGATGCAAGCGTCTCTGACCCTAGTGAAAGGACATGTCTGCTCCGACTCATTTAGCAATCTGCCACAAACACACAGGCGGCTTATCGCAGAACAGAGACGAGCTGCATGCGCGTGTGTGTGTGTGAGAGAGAGATGAGTCAGACATGCTGGGAAATTTAAAGGATGTAAAAACATCAGTATGTTGGAGTCTCTGTGTATTGGTGTTCTCTGAATACACTAACGGTCAAATAACTTTTTTAAAGAAGCTTTAATATTGTGAAATATTATTACAATTTAAAATAACCATTTTCTATGTGAATATATATTAAAATGTAATTTATTCCTGTGATCAAAGCTGTATTTTCAGCATCATTACTCCAGTCTTCAGTGTCACATGATCCTTCAGAATTCACTCTAATATGATGATTTGCTGCTCAAGAAACATTTCTGATTATTATCAATGTTTCTCTTAATGTTTGTAATGATAAAATGTTACTTATTTTTACTGTAGAGCAGAAGAGACTTCTTTTAAAAATGAGTGTTTTGTGTGTTGCGGTGCATATGCTGACGGCTGTGTTTTTCTCTCCAGAGGGACTTCAAGCGTCGTGAGGAGCTCCAGCAGACTGATGTGGAGTGCTGGCTGGGCTTCATCACGTTTCTGTGTGAAGTGTTCGGCACCATGAGGAGCAGCGCTGGAGAGCCGTTCAGAGTGCTGGTGTGTCCCATCTACTCCTGCTTACGAGAGGTACACAACACACAACTCATCAACTACTGGCCAAACGCTGTATGTACAGTAGAATCTACTCAGATAACATACTGTTGCGCTGACTTCCGTCGTCTCTCTCTCGCTCTGATAGATGCGAGATTCAAATTTCTCATTAACTCATGAAACGACAGTCAGAAAGAGATCAAAACATCAAAACAAATTCCTACACGTTTTTTTCGTATTTTTAAAGGAGACCTATTATGCCCTTTTATAGTTTAAAAGTTTTAAGTTTTGATTTGTTTTTGGGTTCTACGAAAACAGGTTTTAATGCTTGAATGCTCAAAACACATTATTTTTCTCATATTGTCGATTGTTGCAGCTCGTCTCTCCCCAGTCAGTCAGTAACACTCTGTTTAGTTCCTGTCTCTATGAAGCCCCTCCTTCTGAAAAGCACACTGTGCTCTAATTGGTCGACTGGATTTTGCTTTTGTGATTAGTCGATCGTGTGTCTGACACTCATCTAGAGAATAACTCCTTAAAGAACTTTGAAAATATTGAGTTTGCTACGTATTAACGCACCCTACCCGAACTTGTTGCAGAACACTGAATAGGTGTTGTTGACATGCAAATGTGAATGGTTTTGTATTCAATTGTATTTATCTGATGACCGTAAATCATTTTGTATATTTTTTTAGCTGAATTTCAGTAACTCGGAGTTGGAAGTAGGGCTGCACGATTTAAGAAATTTTTTAAATTTTTAAAATGCGATTTTACAAATGAAAAAAAGGCACACTATGCAGGAATTCTGTTTTTGTCAAACAGCGACCCCTAGAGTCGCTGTGGAGTACTTGTATGTAACGTTACTGTCGTAAATACCACTCAAGCAGAGCGTCTCTGCACCCATGGCCTGGTACCCCTTTGAAGCTCTTATAATAAGGTACAAATCTTGCATAGTGTGCCTTTAAATAAGAGATCTAGGGGGCCTGCTATTATATTAGACTACATAGCCTATAATAAAAGATAATGAATTTCAAACCTGGACCAAACCATTGAGGACTGTCATTAGTCTTTAATCTGCCACTAAAAACTGGCATGTTGTGGTTCTGGTACACCAGCCATGTCAACGAAACAAATTAATGAAAATTTACTTATCAATGTATATCTAAATTCGCACCTACATCTTTGTAGAACTTACAAAATAAGAAACTGAAAAGATGTTGCAGCCAATGAGCCACCGCCGGGGGCCTACTCAATCTCCACGTTTTTAATATTTTATTAGACAATAACCACAAGGTTTTGCTTTAGTATAATTTTCGGGACAATTAGGGCCGGATTCGGGACAACAGCTTAGATTTTGGGGCTGTCCCGAATTTTTAGGGACGTCTGGTCACCCTGGTCTGGCTCTGGTCTGGTGTCTATCGCCGTTGCGGACTCTTTCTATTCATTCTGGTGAACTCACAAAATAAAAGGATGATTCAGCCAACTATGAGTTTGTTTACCACTGAAATGACTTTGAAGCTGTTATATTAAGGTACAAATCTTGCATAGTGTTTCTTTAAATTTGTAGGGCTGCACACAATTTGGCCAAAAAATGTTAACAATAATAATATTGTTGTTATTATTATTACAAAATAAAAATATTAAACCAAGACATTCCTATTGTAATATTTCACTCTAAAATAAAAAATATATATTTTAGATAAATAATTTTATGGTACAACTGTAAAATTACATCTTAATTTCTTCATTTTCAAACTTTAAACCATCAAGCTTTTACTTGGGTGTTTTTTACAAGTTTGGGAAGTGGCACACTTCATTTTTATTTTCGGTTTTATTTCGATTAATCATGCAGCTCTGCTTGCAAGGTAGTTTTGCTGTGTGAAAGTTACTGTATTTTTTTCACAATACATCAAACTCCGTTCAAAACATCAAGAAAAAAACCCTTTTAAGACTTAAAGACGATCTTTGTCTCGTGAAATGCCCCGATCGCTGGTGAATGGGGCTTCCCTGTCTGGGCTGAATCCTGTCAGTTGTTCAGCTGATGACAGACGTGATCCATCAAAAGCCAAAGTTTGATTCTTCAGCAGCTCCACATGAAAGAGACGTGATCTGGGTGAGAGTTCAGTGTGTGTTTGTGCCGTATGAATGCCGCTATTCAGGATCGCAGCCGGATTAACATCCCTTTCGGCTCTCGTATCGGCACGTCCCGACACGAGGGTCTGGGAGTCAGACCAGGCACTTAGTGTCAGTGTGTGACAGCGATTACGTCTCAGCCAGGTGTGTGTGTATGTGTGTTTTGTGGACCGGCAGAGCAGGTTGGGTAATTACAGGTGATCCAGCTGTAGTGTGGAGCTGACAGGTGTATTTGGAGCGCTGAGGGTGTGGGAGAAAATAAAAGACAGGATGAATGGAGGGAGGGAGAGAAGAGAGCGTCTGTTGTTCACTTGAAAGCTGCTTGAGCTGAAGGGTTGGACGCTTCTCTGATCTTCTCAAACCCTTTTGTTGGATTCTTTTGTGCATTTTCATCACTTTTACCTGGTTGCATACAGCTAGAACTCAAATATACAAGTTCTACATAATTTATCATTAGATTTGCAAGGCTCTTGTTGTAAGAGAGAAAACTCAAGATGATGTAAATGCAGTATAGCTGAAGTTTGTTTTTGTGATTTGGGTCTGTTGTGATTGGTCTACTCTGCTCTGATTGGTCAGATGGCTCAGTCTGTTGTGATTGGTCTACTCTGCTCTGATTGGTCAGATGGCTCAGTCTGTTGTGATTGGTCTACTCTGCTCTGATTGGTCAGATGGCTCAGTCTGTTGTGATTGGTCTACTCTGCTCTGATTGGTCAGATGGCTCAGTCTGTTGTGATTGGTCTACTCTGCTCTGATTGGTCAGATGGCCCAGTCTGTTGTGATTGGTCTACTCTGCTCTGATTGGTCAGATGGCTCAGTCTGTTGTGATTGGTCTACTCTGCTCTGATTGGTCAAATGGCTCAGTCTGTTGTGATTGGTCTACTCTGCTCTGATTGGTCAGATGGCCCAGTCTGTTGTGATTGGTCTACTCTGCTCTGATTGGTCAGATGGCTCAGTCTGTTGTGATTGGTCTACTCTGCTCTGATTGGTCAGATGGCTCAGTCTGTTGTGATTGGTCTACTCTGCTCTGATTGGTCAAATGGCTCAGTCTGTTGTGATTGGTCTACACTGCTCTGATTGGTCAGATGGCCCAGTCTGTTGTGATTGGTCTACTCTGCTCTGATTGGTCAGATGGCTCAGTCTGTTGTGATTGGTCTACTCTGCTCTGATTGATCAAATGGCTCAGTCTGTTGTGATTGGTCTACTCTGCTCTGATTGGTCAAATGGCTCAGTCTGTTGTGATTGGTCTACTCTGCTCTGATTGGTCAGATGGCCCAGTCTGTTGTGATTGGTCTACTCTGCTCTGATTGGTCAGATGGCTCAGTCTGTTGTGATTGGTCTACTCTGCTCTGATTGGTCAGATGGCCCAGTCTGTTGTGATTGGTCTACTCTGCTCTGATTGGTCAGATGGCCCAGTCTGTTGTGATTGGTCTACTCTGCTCTGATTGGTCAGATGGCTCAGTCTGTTGTGATTGGTCTACTCTGCTCTGATTGGTCAGATGGTCCAGTCTGTTGTGATTGGTCTACTCTGCTCTGATTGGTCAGATGGCTCAGTCTGTTGTGATTGGTCTACTCTGCTCTGATTGGTCAGATGGCTCAGTCTGTTGTGATTGGTCTACTCTGCTCTGATTGGTCAGATGGCCCAGTCTGTTGTGATTGGTCTACTCTGCTCTGATTGGTCAGATGGCCCAGTCTGTTGTGATTGGTCTACTCTGCTCTGATTGGTCAGATGGCTCAGTCTGTTGTGATTGGTCTACTCTGCTCTGATTGGTCAGATGGTCCAGTCTGTTGTGATTGGTCTACTCTGCTCTGATTGGTCAGATGGCTCAGTCTGTTGTGATTGGTCTACTCTGCTCTGATTGGTCAGATGGCTCAGTCTGTTGTGATTGGTCTACTCTGCTCTGATTGGTCAGATGGCCCAGTCTGTTGTGATTGGTCTACTCTGCTCTGATTGGTCAGATGGCTCAGTCTGTTGTGATTGGTCTACTCTGCTCTGCTTGGTCAGATGGCCCAGTCTGTTGTGATTGGTCTACTCTGCTCTGATTGGTCAGATGGCTCAGTCTGTTGTGATCGGCCGACCACTCAATGTGTGTGTGTCAGAAACCAATTTCCCATTCATATATATAGATGTTAACTCCAGATGTTCCTCAGCACTTGATAGACAGTGATGCGTACAGTAATGATGCCGTCTGTTTTACCGTATCAATTCCAGCTCAAGACTCAATCTTTAAATGCTTTAAGTGCTTTGGTAGCAGAAAACAACATCTTCTCGTCATCAAACTCTTCTAGTCTCACTTACAACTGCAGTGTTTGATGGCAGGGCAAAGTAGACATTGTTCGAATGCATGAAACTGGCGGTTATGGTAAGGGGCGGGACATTTCCCAAACACGCTCGATGTGTTGACAAATCACAACACACTGATCCAGCTGACCAATCAGATCTCAGTGTGCTTTTCAGAAGGAGGGGCTTCATAGAGACTTTGAACATTTGAGACATAGTGAATAATATACATTTAAGCATGTAAACCTGTTCTAATAGAGCCCAAAAACAAAATTTAGGCTTTCTAAAAGGGCATAATAGTTCTCCTTTATAATATGTCTCTGTGCTAGTAGAGAGTTTGACCATGTAGGATCATGTTAATTTTTGAAGTCTTTAGGGAGATAATTACAGCCTTGTCTTTATGTTCTTCATTATATTGATTCTGATGTGGAGTTGTATTCGCGTTTGAGGTTAGTCTGAGGTGGTTTCTGTAACACGAGCTCTGCTCCTGCTCTCTGGGGACGTCATTATGGACTATATAACTCTAGACCTAAAGCAGCGGTTACCCTGGAGACCAGCATAAGGAGACCCCATCAGTAATTACCCGAGACCACCAGGACTAGAAACCTCTAGACACCAATATACATGT